TTATATTTCTTCCTAAATGTTTTTTTGCAACGCAATTAGATTTTCAAATTTGTTATTTATTTATAAATTGAATAAATTATTTTTACTTACATTTATTTAACTTTAAAAATCTTAACCACCTCCAATCGGCCTCGAACCTGCGATTTCAGAACCAGAACCAGTAGTCCTCACGTGACGCCACAGCCGACATTTGTAAGAAAAGCAATTAATTGCGTTTTGTTTTTGGCTTTGGCAATTCAAAGGCAGATGTCGCTAATCGCCTAAGTTCTTCGAAATTGTCGAACTGGTGGGCACATACTAGTTAATGAACTAGTATTTTTTCTAACTGGTTTGGCTTTTCACTGCATGGTAATTGTAGCCAGCATCTTTATGCACTCAGCTACAGGCACAATATGTGAGTGTGCTTTCAAATGTTCGCTTTGAATAGAGCCAGGTGACGATTTGTTCAAATTTAAATTTGTCTGTGCTATCGTCTTTGCTATTTATTATTATTTTACAACGCTTTTATCAACTTGAAATGTTGTATGTCCAGACCACCATTTTATACTATAAATATAGCAAAGGTATTTATGGCAAACCTAGTCTAGATATCAACCGCGTCGTAGGTATCATATCAAAGACATACAATTAGAAAAACTCTAGAGATAGATGTCGCCTCGCCAGAAGAAGTTAAAAATATGCACTACATACGCTACAGCAGAAATGTACGACACGCCATTTCTTTAAATGAAATTAATTGCTGCTTTATGTATGTTTGTATATATATGGGCATATACTAAATGTGAGCAAACAACATTTTGCTTGCATAGTCTTCTGTTCTCTTTTCACTGCAAGTTGAATTATTTTAGTATCTATTGCAAAATTTTATACAGACAAGACTAAAAAGTATAAAATTAATAAAAAAAAAAACTTTTTAATGTACCACGCTTTTATAAATGGACTAAAATTAGAAAATAATATTTCTCAGTCCCACAGACCTTGTTTTGATAACTTTTGATTTTGAAATTTTAGCAAAAGTCATTATAATCAATTTATGAGATTGAAAATGGAAAGCGTGGGGCGCATGTAATAGGCCTGATTTGAAATTGAAGAGTAATATATGTATGTATGTGGGTATATTAATAACGACCGCTTAAAATCGATCTCAAATTTGTACTTTCGCCGTAGAAATTTAAGGTCTATGTTATGTACGTAGTTTGAATATTGTCAATTAAATCTAATGCTTTGTGATGCATGCCCTCCACGTTTTTCGTTTTCAATCTCATAAAGTGTTTATAATGACTTCGGTTCAAAACCGGGAATGGAGGGTAAAAACCGTTGGGATATTATTTGCTAAAATTTCAAAATCAAAAGTTATCAAAACAAATTCTATGGGACTGAGATATATTATTTTATTATTATAACGCTTTTATCAACTTGCAATGTTGCATGTCCATACCGCTTCGAATGTTGTATGTTCAGACCACCATTTATACTATTTGCATTTTTTTGTAAGCGACCCTGCAGTGAAAAGCCAAACCAGTTAGAAAAAATACTAGTTCATTAAGTAGTATGTGCCTACCAGTTCGACAATTTCGAAGAACTTAGGTGATCAGCGACATCTGCCTTTGAATTGCCAAAGCCAAAAATAAAACGCAATTATAATTGCTTTTCTTACAAATGTCGGCTGTGGCGTCACGTGAAGACTACTGGTTCTGGTTCTGAAATTGCAGGTTCGAGGCCGCTTGGAGGTGGTTAAGATTTTTAAAGTTAAATAAATGTAAGCAAAAATAATTTATTCAATTTATAAATAAATAACAAATTTGATCATCTAATTGCATTGCAAAAATACATTTAGGAAGAAATGCTTGTGCTATAAAAACAAAGAAATTAAACAAAAATATTTTTTTTTATTAAATTTAAAAATTACAATAAACAGCCTAAACAAAAAATAAATGTATAAAAAATAAAAATAAAATAAAAAATAGAAAATAAAAAAACTTTTCCTGCACCAGGATTTGAACCTGGGACCTCAGGCTTACCACGCGAGTGCTTTGCTCTGCCGGCCATTGTGACTGCTGGAGCGTCGCGAGCAAAAACGCACATTTATGCCTTTCACGGGGCATGAATTGGCACACTATCTCAACTGGTATGATGCTACTAGTATTTATACTAGTAGATGCTGATGCATAGCCTGACAATTGACATCTCGTAGGACATCGCAATGTTAAAAATACCAGTCGCTAACATTCAAAAAGGATAGAATGTGAACTAGTTGGGCTGAAACGCAAACCGGTAGAATTCTAGTTCACAACTAGTACACGGTAAAAAATTTGGGTTTAATTTTTAAACCGCGCTGGGACTACTGCCTTTTTTAAACTTTTATA